GTGCTGCCGCACAGCCATGTTCGTCTACAAGTGGCCTGCAGACAAGGAGAACGACACCGGGGTGGTCAGCGAGCACAGCATGTGTGATGTGGAGGGTAAGGGCTGTCCCATTCCCCAGGGTCCGGTGGCTGGTGGCAGGGTCTGTCATGTCCCCTGTAGGCAGGGCACTGTGACTGTGCGAATGCCCATGCCATCCATGTCCAGCTGCCTCCCTGTATATTCATCAGCACAGTGAGGTGTTATAAGGGGTCCAGCTCTGTTCCCAAAACCTCCCCCATCTCCCCCCAAGGCTTGCAGCCATGCATGCCTGTGGTTTATCTTTTCCTGGCATGCACTGAACCACCAGGAAACAATTCAGCTCCCTGCCTAGCCCCACGAGGAGCAAGGAATGGTTTTCCACTCTCCATTTAAGCAACCTTTCCCCAGCTGTCAGCCAGTGGGGGATGTGGCATGGGCAGGGAGATGTGGTTGGACTCTGGGTGGCTCCATGCCCACAGAAACCTGCAGCACCTGCCTTTTGAACAGCCTAGGAGGGGTAAAGCTGCCCACCGAGCGTCTTCCCACCAAGCATGCTCCCACTGCCTGCAGAGAGCAAGGCTGTTTCCTCTCCACAGGTCCTGGCATCTCCAGCTACAGCTCCAACCCTCCAGCTGCTGGGACAAGCTTGGTGCACTGCCTGAACCAGGCTCTGAGAGACGTGCCCAAGGAGAAGCACACAGGCACCCCGCTCTACCTGGGCGCCACGGCCGGCATGCGTCTGCTCAAGTGAGTGCTTGCTCTGGCCGTGCCAGCTGCTTGGCCTCAAACACTGCCTGTGGGGCCCTGCCATGCTACCTTGCCGTCTCGCCACCCGTGGCAGGGGTGGAGATGGTGAAGGAGAGCTGCGATATCTCCCCTTTGCCAGGTGAAGCTCCTAACCCTCCCAGCTGCCCAGCTCCATGTCCCTTGCAGAGTTGTTCCTGCCTTTCAGAGCAGATGCACTGCAGGGTACAGCCAGCACATCCCTGGCTGAAAAGGGGCTGGTGTGATGCCAGCACCAGGATGATCCACCCAGTCTTTTTGGTGTGATGCCAGCACCAGGATGACCCACCCAGTCTTTTTGCCTAGCCAGGAGGAAAGTCCCCCTGCACCCATTGCCAGCCTGATGGGATGCAGTGAGAATACTTACCCCCAAAAAACCACACAGAGGAGGGAGTCGTGCCCCCCTCACCCAGCCACAGGGTATGGCTCAGGAAGAGGGAGCATGCTGCCATCCCTGCTGCCTGTCTTCTTCTCCGGCAGAGACAATGGGAATTAGCTGGGGTTGTTTGGGGGACATCCCTGCAGGTTACCCAGGCGAGGATTCACCTGCCTCCTGCTCCGCGTGCTGTGGCAGGGCCAGGTCCCGAGGGCTGTGTGGGCAGCAGGGGCTCTGCTCACAGCACCTCATGCAGCCCTGCTACTCTGCCCTCTTGCCTGGCCCACAGCATCATGAACCTGCAGGCTTCAGACGCTGTCCTCAGCGCCGTGGCGGCCACACTGAAGTCATACCCTTTCAATTTCCGGGGGGCAAAGATCCTGTCAGGGGAAGAAGAAGGGGTCTTCGGCTGGGTCACCGCAAACTACCTCCTGGAGAACTTCATCAAGGTGGGCAGGGGAGTGCAGCGCCTGGCAGGGATGGCTGTGGTGGACAGGCTGTCCCCCAGCTCATCACATCCTTATGCCCGCTCTTGTCTTCTTTGCTCAGCGTGGGTGGCTCGGGGAATGGATCCAGCCCCAGAAGAAGACCCTGGGGGCCATGGACTTTGGCGGCGCTTCCACACAGATCACCTTTGAAACCAGGGACACCATCGAAGACCCCAGAAATGAAGTGATGCTGAAGCTGTATGGCCAGACGTACAAAGTGTACACCCACAGCTTCCTCTGCTACGGAAGGGACCAGGTCCTCAAGAGGCTGCTCTCAAAGCTCCTCCAGGTACCAGCATGTGCTTGACACGGATACTGGCTGTCATCACCCTGTGGTTGCCCCCTCACCCTAGTGTTTATACAGGGGTGTCCCCCAGCCCTGGCTCTAGGACAGCCCCATGGGTCTGGCTGCACACCTTTTCCAGCCAACTCTTGGGTTTTGCCCCTGACCCTCTCCCATGGTCCCAGGGCTTCCTCCCACCCTCTCCATAAGGTGTTGCACCCCTCAGCCAGAGCCAAGATGTCCCAAGTCATCCCAAGATGATTGTGGCAACTGCCAGCTCTGCATCCTGCTGCGCAAGCTCCTCCACTTCTCCCCAGCAGGGGAATGGAGGCAGGCAGTGGTGCCAGGGCTGCCGCACAGCACCGGGGGAGCTGGGGCTATGGCACAGCTCACATGTCCTATGTGTTGCTTCTCGGCAGGCTGAAAGCTACAAAGCAACTGTCCTCCATCCCTGCTGGCCCACGGGCTACCACAAGAGCCTGTCACTGAGCAGCATCTACGACAGCCCCTGCACAGAGAAGGAGAGGCCCAGCCTTGCTCTCAACACCACCATCACTGTGGCTGGCTCTGGGAATGGGAGCCTCTGCACTCTGCACATCAGCAAGCTCTTCGACTTCACCACCTGCCCCTTCTCCCGCTGTTCCTTTGATGGCATTTTCCAGCCGGAGGTTTCGGGAAACTTCATCGTAAGTCCTGGCATGGAGCAGGGTGGTGGTCTGGCTGCTGGGTGGGCAGGTGTCCCCAGCCCCCCAGCACCATGTGGCAGCAAAGCCAGACCCCTGGCTCTGCAAGGGCAGGGGGGTCTCCTGCCCACCATGTGGTGTACCCACCATGCCAGTCAGCGCAGTTGTACATGGTGAGAGGGTTTGCTCCCAGCCTGCCCCACAGCTGCCTCCTTTCCTCCATCAGGCCTTCTCTGCCTTCTTCTACACGGTCGACTTCATCCAGACAGTGATGGGGACACCTGTACGCTTGCCCAGCGATCTGAAGGATGCTGCTGAGACCATCTGTGCCACCAGCTGGAGTGAGGTGAGCTCCTCAGGCACGGCGGGTAGGAGAGGGCTTGCTTAGTGTGGACATCAGCTAGGCTCCGAGAGCAGCCCTTGGAGGGGGCTGGGTGTCCTGGCACCCATGGAGTAGGGGGAGGGCAGGTGATGGCTCCCACATGGGACCAGGAGAGGCTCAGGTGGGTATGGGCAGTGCCTTGGCCAGCCAGATGCAACCACCCAGAGCTTCAGGCCACAGAAAAAAAGCCTGGACACCATTGGCTTGACCCCTTTTCTCTGTCCCTCCATGCATCCCACCCAGCTGCTCCAGAAAGCCCCTAAGCTGGAGAAGAGACTGTCGGATTACTGCGCTGTCAGCATGTTCGTTTATTTGCTCACCACCAAAGGCTACAACTTCAACAATCATTCCTTCCCCAACATTGCCTTCCAGAAGAAGGTGGGTAGCACCAGAGCACATACCCGTCCCATGGTATCTGTTTGGAATTAGGCCAAAAAGCCCTTCAGGAGAGATGATCCCATACCATGAAAGAGCCAAGCAATGTGAGGGAAGATCTCAGGGAACAGGGGCAGGATGGGGCTCCCAGCTTTTGGATGGATCTTCTGGGAGATGGAAAAAAAACCAAGCTGAGTTCACTGTAGGGTAGTCATGGAGTCATGTCCTCCAGTCCTTGCTTGGGCATCAAGACACCAGCCTTCTCAAACATCTCTTTGCTCAAGCTTGTTGGGAAGTTATCTCAGGGCAGGATCCCACCTTTGCCAAGTGCCCTCACCTGCATGAGCCATGGTATGGGCAGCAAGATCAGGACAGGCCTGAGTGGACAAGATCCTGCTCCCATTGGATGAGCCCAGCTCAGCACAGGATGGTCACTGCTTCATCCCTGGGCTGGCTGGACCCGTGGGTGAGCAAGAGCTCACAGTGCTGTGGACTCCCCCACACTCCTTTTCTCCATTGGCCTGGCACTGAGGTAGTCCCTGAAAGGTCTCTTGAGGCCTGTGGAGCTGGGTTGACTGGGGTGGTGACCATGCCACGTTCTTTCCACAGGCAGGAGAAACCTCCATTGGCTGGGCCCTGGGCTACATGCTGAACCTCACCAACATGATCCCAGCGGAGAAGCCCTCTTCCCACAAAAGCATGCTGTACAACTACTGGGTCATCCTCATCCTGCTCTTTGTGGTCACCACCCTGATGTCTCTGGTGACTGCCATCTGCCTGCTCCGGCGCAGCAAGTCCAGTGCAATCTAACGGCAGGGAACAAGGCAGGCCTTGTCTGCAGGACCCAGCACCCATCCTTCTTGCTGGAGTCTCCATGGCCTGAACACTTGGGATGCAGCAAGTGCTCAGAGATGTCCACCTCCGATATCTGACACTGCCTGTCCCAGAAGGAAAGCTGTCCCTTTTTGCCCTCCCCTTGCTTTCAAGCTGCAGAAAGGGGAAGACTGAAGAGGACCGCTGGCCCTGCAGGAGAACGGCTTAAAGGTTTCCCAGTGCTACTCAGGGATGGACTCCAGAGCAGGCTTGGGATTTGGACATTCAGACCTTCAGACCTAGGGCATCTTTCTGCCACCAGACCTGGGCTGGACTGGGCCAGTAAGTCCAGACAACAGCAGGATTTATTCTCATGTGCATGGGGTAGGTGGGGAGTATTACTGACGCTGACCTCTCTAACCTGTCCCTGGAGCATCAGCCCTGCCTCTTAGGAAGCTCTGGGCACAAACCCCACTGACCTTCCTGAAGGCCAGATATTGGCCTGGATTTGCACCACCCTCAGCACAGGGGCTTTGGGTACAGGCTTAGCAGCAACCAGACATGGGGAGAAGACAGTTTCCCAGGTCCCACTTCAGCAACCAGATGCAGTGCCTTCCCCATTCCTATGGTTCCTAGGCCAGACACACCTTTGCCACAGCCAGAGCCTCCTCCATCCCCCCAGCAATGGCACAAAAAGCCCCTGTGGATCCCCAGTGCATGGCCATGCCAGCGCAGAGGTGACAGGCTCACTGAGGGAGTGGGGCTTTGCACTGCTTTAGGATTTGAGCCTTGCATCACCCCATGCCAGGCAGCTGGGAGGATGCACCTTCATTTCCAGTTGAGTAAGAACAGGGACATGCAAACATGCAGAAGGTTTTGTTTCGTTTGGTTGGGGGTTTTTTTATAATCAGAAATAAATCTTTGTAACCACTCCTATGGCTGTGTGGCTCTTGATCAGCAACAGGCTGATCAAGCCTGGCTGTCCCGCAGGGGTAGAGCCACTTACGGGGTCTACTCAGACACAGCTGCAGGTCAGGCTCTGCCTGAAGGGAGCCTTGCAGCCTGCCCAGTGCTGAGACACAATCATGGCTTTGTATGCTCTACCAGCCCCCAAGATGGACAAGGGTGGGCTTGAAACCTCACTCCAGACTCAGGCTCACTTGGAAGTTGAAGAGTTTCAATGAGCTGCAGTTGCAAAGTTCAGGTTTCCAAAGCGCTAGAGACAGGTCCAGTCACCCCAAAGGCATGAGCAGGCAGCGCTCAAACTGACTGAGCCCCGTGTGTTCACCACTGCACTCACGGCCACAGCCTCCGTGCAAGGAAAACACGTAGGGAGCCTCTGCTCCCAGGGGACCAGGTCTGGTACCCAAGCAGGGCAGGAGAGCAGTTGGCAGAGTTGGCAATTTGTTCATGCAGTCGCTAGCAGCTCAGCCTCCACAGCATGCATCCAGCTGCCAGGTAGCTGCATAGGGCCAGTCCTGACTCGTCAAGCCCATCTGGAAAAAGCCTCCCACCCCACCACATTCCTCCGCATGCCCCAGGAGAGGAGCAGCTTTAGCAAGACTGGCAGTTTCACACTGCCCTCCTTGCTCTCACATGCAGCAAGAGCTCTGCTCCCCGCTCTGGCCAAGCTCCCGGTACGCTGCGCTTGGCTTAACCTGCCCGTTCCCCACAGCCACTTTGCTTTTAGTTGTTCTGGTGGCTGCTCCCCATCTCTCTGCACAGGCCAAGCATGATGCCAGTTCAGATAACGTTCTGAGCCCCCAAACCCAGTTTCCTCCCAGGGCCCCTCATCTTCCCAGCATAGGGACTCGCTCCCATGGCAAGGCTCAGGGACTGTCTCCAGCAGTGACATGGAAGGAGGCATTTCTGGTCTGAAGCTGAAATGCTGCTGCTCTGCTCTAAGAAACCAGCTAGCTTCCAGAACACAGGCTGGGTTTCCCCTTCTAAGAAATTCAGCTGCAAAGGAATCAGAGCTGGATATCCACCAAGAGCAGCCAGTTTGCCCTAGTCATGACTTTGAGTTTGCTATGAGGAAAAAAATTAAGTACAAGAGGCTTCTTAATCTTCTCACCTGCCTCTCTGGATGCATGGGATTTGAGACAGTACCATTCCCTTGCCAGGTGGTTATGGATCTGGATAGAGTCTGGGACTGGCTGGGTGACATGCCCCAAGAGCAAGGCGGACACCACACAGAGAGGCTCTGGGCACCTGTGCACCCCCTTTGCAGGGGCAGAGAGGACACCCCCAGAGGCCATGCAGCTGAAGGGCTCAGCTCAGCCCCATTCGGGCAGGAGAGAAAAGCCTTGCTGCTACAGGGGCCAGGACACTGTGACTGGCCAGGCTCAAGAAAGAGAGAGCACACAGGAACAGCTCTTCTCCCTCACAGCTTAGGCCAGACCCATCTACGCCTGCAGTCACTTCACAGTCCTGTGCTGTCGGATTGTGGGTGCCATGGCCTCAGAGGGACCAGAGCTCTCTGCTCCAACATTTACTGCAGGGGCTGCCTCAGGGTGATATTTACCACCTGCACCCCAGCTCCTCCTGTCCCACCACCAGGCTTTGCTTTGTCCACAATGTGCATTTTCAGCTCTCGACTTTTATTGTACTCCCCATGTGCAATGTTCAGAGGCTACCTGGGAGGCAGCGATCCCTACAGTGCCTCCACCACGCACTCACTGCAGCATTGACTCATCCAAGCTCCTGGGCAGTGCCACAGAGCCCACCAATCTCACAGGCAGCACAGGCACAGGCAGGCTGGGCAGGCTGGAAGGGGTGAAGCAGGACACAAGGCATGGTGCACTGTGCTCTGCTGGCTACTCCACAACGTCCCCGTACTTGTTCCTCCTCACCAGTGGTGCTGCACTCTCTCTGTCCTCTGGGCTGGGCAGACTTTCTGCAACAGAAAGAACAAACTCCCTGGACTGCTGACTATCCCAGCGTGTTTACCAGGGGTGGGCAGAGAACCACAGAGCCCTGGTGAAGCATTTAAAGCCTCTTCAGCTAGGCCCAGCTTTGGGAGCTCAAGGTACCAGTGAGAGAAAGCAGCAAACAGCTGTGGGAGCTGCCCAGCAGCGGCTGTCCTGGTGCCCCTCCAGCTCTGCCTGCCATACAGAGCAACCGAGGTGTGGAGGGGTTTTCTGCCTCCCTCCATCCCCTACACTCTTCTTCCTCTCCCAGCAAACATGCTGGCTCTCGTGAACCCACAAAGCAGGCAGAAGCGAGCACTCCCACCCCATGCCACCAGCCTTGCTCAGGTCCATGCAGCGCAGGCAGTGGGTCCAGAGCATGGAGGGACACGGGAGCCATGAGACCAGGCAGGGAGCTCCAGCCACCCTAGCACTGCTGTCACCCCAGGTGCCTGCTCCCATCCCGCAGCTGCGGAGTGTCAGTGTGAGACTGTCCTGGTTTTGGTTGGGATAGAGTTAATTTGCTTCCTAGTAGCAGGCATAGTGCTGTGTTTTGGATTTAGCAGGAGAAGAATGTTGATAACACACTGATATTTTAGTTGTTGCTAAGTACTGCTTATGCTAGTCAAGGACTTTTCAGCTTCCCATGCTCTGCCAGGTACACAAGAAAAACTGGGAGGGGGCACAGCCAGAATAGTTGATCCAAACTGACCAACGGGCTATTCCATACCATATGACGTCATGCTCAGTATATAAACTGGGGGGAGTTGGCCGGGGGGAGCGATTGCTGCTCGGGAACTGTCTGGGTATCAGTCGGCGGGTAGTGAGGTCTCAGTCAGCGGGTGGTGAGCAATTGCATTGTGCATCACTTGCTTTCTGTATTATCATTATTATTATTATATTATCATTACTATTTTACTTCATTGCAATTATTAAACTGTTCTTATCTCAACCCAGAAGTTTTCTCACTCTTACTCCTCTGATTCTCTCCCCCATCCCACCAGGGCAGGGGCAGCTGCGTGGTGCGTAGTTGCTGGCTGGGGCTAAACCACGACAGAGACTTATATGGGGATGTTAACAATGACCCAAACAGTCACCAGCTTAATTATGAGGCAGGAACAGCAAATTGTTGCAGCATAGAAGAACCAAGCAGGACAAGCCCAGGGAAAGCAGCAGGGAGAGATGTAAACGTATCTGCGGGCTGAGACACCCTACCAGCCATAGCGAGCTCCTGTGGGGACTTGCCCGTCTCCAGGTAAATCCAGAAGTCAGAGCATTTCTGCGTCTCAGCTCTGGTTACCACATAGCTGGCCAGGGACCCTGCAGCTGGAGAGACCAAGATGCTCCCAAGAGTGCCGGCAACAAGGGCATTTGCTAAGGGCTGTGGTAGGGGCTGGTTTCTGGGCGGCTGCACCTGCCTGCAAGCCATCTCTGAGTCCCCCAGGGCCGTTGGGAGCCCCCACTGTGACAGGAGCTAGGAGAGAAAATCCCCCACACAAAGGACAAACAGCCCTTCTGCCTGCAACACGGCCCTGCTCCTGCTGCTACGCGCAGGCTTGCCTGGGCATGGGCAGGGACGGGCAGAGCCAAACAGGACACTCACCCCCAGCCAGCAGCAGGCTCCACTGCAGGCTGTAC